CTGTGCTTTTTCACCTTTCCTTTTGGATAAAAGAAAAGTCGGTAGCGACTCTTGCTAACCGCAACATTTGCAATAAAATGTAAAACAATCAAGTCAGTTCTCCCACCGCATCACAATTGATAATCAGGAAAAGTAAAACACCGGTATAATAGATCATAGAACTGGACCAATGTAGAAAGAATACCCTCATTCATCTTGGGCTTCATAAGAGGCACAAGGGCTCCATACTTTTTCCAGAAATCTGTAGGACTCTCAATCTCAGGAATCAAAGTCCTCAGTTCCTCTATCTTAGGATCCTTGAAATTGTACTTCTGAGTCTTTCTTCTTCCAAAATCCATGGTCAAAAAATACCTGAGATATTTGTAAAAGTCAATCTTAAGTTTCTCGAAAAACGGTTTAAATAATGCTCATGGGTGCATGAATGTATGATGATGCAACAATCACACACAAGATAATAAACATGGGGGTTCATAGGTTCGACGTTACGAGCATGAAGTTAAAGGTACTACTCACAAGGTAAGGACTAATGGTTTATCACCTGCCGAACAAGGTTCTAAGGAAATTCTAGAGTCTACATTCTTCCTTCGAATATTATCAACGTCCCGATTAACTTGGTAATTAGCAATATTCTCAAGAAAACTGTTACTACAGTGGATTCTATTTTGATATCATATGGATCCGTTGACAATACTTTTATTCTGTTTTTAATTTTGTACCTTAACTACTTTTGAAATGTTAATAGTTAGAGTTGGTTTTATAAAATAAGTATTTAAATTATTTCAATTACTCTTTATTTTAGTTCTCCATTATAGTTATTTCCTTAATTAGTATTTAATAAACAAATTTGGTATAATTGTTATAAGGTGATATTACACATGACTGTTGGTTTACATAAAAATATAATATTTTTTTAATTACAATATTGGTGGTTGCAATATAATATTTTTTCCTAAAGTAATATTAATATTTTTTCAACTCATTAAATATTGAGTTGTATTTGATAATTTATTGTATTTTCTAATGGTAAATTTATAATTAATAACATTATATATTGCATTTTATAATTGTTTTGTATAACTAATATATAGCAGATCTTATTATGTACATGAAAAAAATTTATAAATCAATTATATTATTGATCTTTGAAACATGTTTTTAGATGGTTATCTAACCGCTTAAATTTTAATCAATTGGATTTATTAAACAATATCACCGCACAAGCTTTATATATATATATATATATATATATATATATATATATATATATATATATATATATATATATATATATAAGCGTTAATAGGACATGAAAATGCAATTTTGATTTCAAGAAATCTTACCAACCGGTGATGTGTGGATCTGAGGATCTAAGATGTTGAAAGCCTTGGTAATGGGTGGAATAAGTTCCTAGAAATCTCAGGAATACGACTGAGCAGTTGGTATGTATGGATGGTGGCTAAAAAACTCAATTTCGAATTTCACAACTTTTATGATTTTTTTTTGCAATTTTGTGGAGCTTTGGTAAGACAATGTATTTTCGTTCCTTTTGCTCATGCATTGGTCTTGTATTTATAGAGGAAGAAGAAGGCTAGCAAAGATGGTAAGAATCTATCCATAATGACCCTCTTTCAAATCAAAATCAAACACATTAAAAAAATTACAAAAATGCAAATTCTTGCCCATTCTGAGGTGCAATGCACCTGACCTCCTTTGCACAAAATTTTGAGCCCAAAAATAATTCAAATCATCAGTCCATATTGCCATAACCAATATTTACTATTTTATGCAATTTTATTTAGTTTTTATTATTTGAATAAAACAAAATAAATATGGATAAAATAGGTAGAAATGACAAGGCAATGTAGAAATGATTTTAGAGGTCTCTCATAAGGTTAGGAAGATGTTTGAAGTCCAAGAAGTTAGGCCATTTACCTAAAAGTTCAAGTTTTCTCAATGCACAATTCTTAAAATTTCCCAAGTTTTTCCAACTTGGGCAAATCATAACTTGCTCAATTGTCATCCAATGATAATGATCTTGGACTTTTTAAAAAGCTCAAGATGTCTAATTCAATCCCTCTTTTGATCAATTTTACATTTGAAGATTTTATCTTGATGTAAAAGGTCTTGGCAAAAAGTGTCTTTTGTTAACTTTCTGAAAATGACTTATAATGTATGAGCTTGTATCTTTCAAATGGTGCATTTCTTGAACTTGAGGATAAAAGATAAGTTGTATTGAATTTGATTCTCTTCAAAATGAGCTTTGGTTGGGTAAAAATGGATGAAATATGTGAAAGTTATGCATGGTCAAAGTTCAGTTGATTTAAGTTTTGTGTTTGAATTTAACTCATTCAATTTGGTGTTTATTTTTAGTGACGTGACACAATTTTAGTTGAGGTAGCATTGAATACTTTATCCACGTCATTTTTTTAATTCTTTTTAAATTTTTATAATTATAAATGTCAAAAAAATTGATTCTAATGAATTTAGAATCCTGAAACATTAGTTACCAAAAATCAAACCACTGCACTAACACTTTTAAATTATAATTAATTCTCTCAGAATTTACTTATTTCGTGCAGACTCCACAAAAATATTAAAATGGCAAAATTGGTAAATGAGCTTTTTCAAGCCGAATGCTACCAGAAGACCGGGAGCCTACTTTGCACTTTCTAATACATCGGCAGATGGCAGTTGCTGGGAAATAGAAAACTTAGAGAAGTAATGAAGCAGAGAGGAATATCCAAGGACAGTGCCTCTAGTTGGGTTGGAGCTAATACTGATAGTTTTAGGTTTTATGATGAGTTCAAAGATGCTCGGAATTATTTTTGTTTTGTCAAATAGTTGTGTTAATTTAATTAATTATAATTTAGAAGTGTTAGTGTTTAGTTCTTGATACAAAGTATTGATGTATTAATATTTTTGAATTTGAAATTTATTGGAATTAATTTTTTTTGACATTATCATTATTTCATAAAAAAATAATAAAATAGTTATAATTATATAAAAAAATAAAAAAAATAATTTAGATAAAATATTCAATGTCACTTCAACTAAAATTGTGTCAGATCATTGAAAATAAACATCAAATTGAATAGAAGATTAATTTCAAATACAAAATTTTAAAAAAACTAAAATAATAATTTTTAAAGCAGAAGGATCAAAATCAAAAAAAAAATTAAATAGAAAAATCAAAATTATAATTAAATCATTAAAAAAATAATAAAAATAAAAGAAATTCAAAATTTACTTACAAACAAATAATAAAAAATGAACAAACGTCAATGAAATTTAAAGTTAAGATATTATAACATTGAATAATAAAAAAAAAATTATGATATTTATTTTCTAATCTTCTATTTTTTACAATTCAATATTTTGTAAAATGATGACTTTTGTACAAAGAAAATTGATATGGAGAAGTAAAAGAAAAAAAAAACTTAAAATAAACATAACTTGAAAATATATTGAATACAAAAAATTTATTAACAATTGAGTAATATAGTGAACTTTAACTTATTTTATATGCAATTTCTCTATTATTGTGATATGGTAATATTTTTAAACACAAAATGCCACAAATTTATTGACACGTCTTGACAATTGAATAATACATTGAATTGTCTTAATTCTATATATGCAATTTCATCATGTATAAAAAAAATGTGTAAATAAGAAAGAATAATAAATAAAAAGAAAAAGAATCATATAATAAAGATGATTGTATATCTATTGTAATTTGGATGACATACATATTGTGATTTGGTTCACTTGATTCAAAATTTAATTAATTAATAAATAATTATATACAATATGTTAATTCATTCATTAACAAAAAGATTTAAAAAAAATTAATTGACATAAATGTGTTAGTGCACAATTAATGTGTTAATGGGGAATTGAGGAGTTACTTAGAATGGTTTTCACTAATTAGAAATTATAGGAACAGTTAAGAAGAAATATGAATTGTAGAAATTATTATTTTTTGGATAATTATATTTATTAATAACAAAAATTTGATAGTTAGTGGAGTTATGTAAACGTGTGTAAAGGAGAGGTTTTTTATTTAATTTATTTATTATTTATTAATTAATTATATTGATTTGTTTTTATGTTTATTTAATTTAATTTTTATTTTTATTAATATTTATCTCTTTATTATCTTAATTTATTATTTATTAAAAATTTTGGCGAAAGTTTTGATAGAAGTTATAGAATTATTATTTAGACTGATATGATTTAATTTTTATTTATATTAATATTTAATTTTTTATTAAGTTAATTTATTATTTATTAAAGATTTTGGCGGAATATTTTAATAGAATAAGTTATAAGATTATAATTTACTATAATTAAGTATGATTCGGTAATTCTAACTCGGCAATAATAAGAAAAAAATAAAGGGTCAATCATAATATTTAATCATATATCACTAAATATTCAAACAAAATATTTTTAAAAATACTTTAATATTTTGACTTATAATCAATTTTAGCAATAAATTACAAAATTATTTATATAATAACAACATTTTACTAAATTATTATTCTATCATAAGTTTTCTATAAAAACAACATATAAATAGGAGATAAATAGAATCACAGATCTAACGATCGGAGTATTTTAATTAATGTGTTAAAATTTGAACCAGAGCATAGTACTATACGTTAGGGATATTCTAACTTCTTTGTAACCAAAAAAAAAAAGTGAATCATCATATTCAAAATATTTTTAGTGATACTTTACTTAATTATTTTATTTTGATTCGATCAACTTTTTTATAAAAACAAAAAATTAATAAACATAAAGAGAATGATTACAAATCTCTAAAAATCATATATTTTTTGAACAAATCTCTAAAAATCATATATTTTTTGAACAAATCTCTAAAGAGCGTTGATTAAGAAAGAAATATCTAAAATTTGAAGGTAAGAAAATAATATAAATTGGGGAGATTGTGAGCTAAAGCTAACACAAACCTAAGAAATAGCACTGGAATAAAAATGGGGTATAGCTTCCAATACATAATCCTGGGAGGAGGAGTTGCAGCGGTTGGTTTGAGTTTGAATAAATTTGTTGTTTAATTTGTGTTTGAATATGCTGTGTTTTTAATTTGAGCATTAAAACTAAAACTCGCAGGGTTATGCTGCAATGGAGTTAGAGAAACTAGGACTAAGGCAAGGGTTGCTGGGGATCATATACAAAGAGGAGAATGTTTGCTTCTTTTACACTCATTATTGTCTTTGTGTTTCATCATATTTAACTGTATTAAGTTTTTCGTAATTATTTATCTGATGTCTCTGAACAACTACCTAACGTTTCTTATTGCTGATATATATAAAATTTTCATAGATAATACCTTATGATCGTCCTTGTCTAAGCAAAGATTGCCTTAATCCAAATTGTAAGTTTGTTTGTGTTAGTTGTTAATTCTGGCTAGGGTTGAATTTTAAATGTTTAATCCTATTTAACGTAATGTGACAAGTATTAGTATTGGATATTGCAGTGCCTGCTGGCGGTATTGTAGTGCCTTCAACTTCAAGGACGTATGCTCATGTAAGTGTTGGAGATTGGGAGTTAAAAAATTTACCTTCAAATTGGTATTCTAAGAAAGGTAACAATTTTATATTATTATTTGAATATATGCACACACACATTCAAAATAACATCATTTAATTAATTTATTTTATTTGATCTCACCGCAGGTATAATGTTGTATCCTGGTACAGAAATTTTAAGAGCAAATCTTCGTAGAAAACTTTTGAGTTCAGAAAAACTAGTATTTCATTACGAGACTTTAATTATTGCAACCGGATCAACTGTAAGTCACATTGGGGTTGTTTGTTAGTTACATTCATTTATTGAGTGAACCTAATCAAAATTTGTAATGCTTTTTAGGCTATAAGATTGGCGGATTTCGGTGTAGAAGGAGATGATGCAAAAAACATATTTTATTTATGGAATGTGGATGATGCCAACAATTTGTTGGATGCAATGAAAGAAAAGAAGAACGGAAAAGCTGTTGTTATTGGAGGTGGATATGTTGCTATGGAGATTACTGCATCCTTGAGACTCCACAACATTGATGTTACCATGGTCTATTCTGAATCTTGGTGTAGTAAGTTGAAATCAATAAATATTTCTTGTATTTGGTTGATGATATGTTTCAAGTATTGGCGAGATTTCAAAAACTAATATATTGTTAAACCAATGTTGCAGTGTCACAACTTTTTACTTGTGATATAGCTGCATTCTATGAGGGCTATTATGCTAATAAGGGGATCAATATCATTAAAGAAACTGATGTTATCGGATTCTCAACTAACTCGGCAAGAGAGGTAAAAGAAGTTAAACTAAAGGATGGGAGGGTATTGGAAGCAGATATTGTTGTTGTTAGTCTTGGAGGAAAGCCTCAAATATCTTTATTCAAAGGTCAGCTTGAAGAGGAACAGGGTGGAATTAAGGTAAGTGAATTTGTGATGCGTCTCTAAATATTCTTAATTACTTGTTTAATATATAAAATCATAATTATACAGAAATAGCATATAAACAAATTGCGCTATGATCCCTTTTTGTGATAAATAAATCTTAATATTGTGCTGGTTGCAGACAGATTCCTTTTTCAAAACAAGTGTTTCTGATGTATATGCTGTTGGTGATGTTGCCACGTTCCCTTTGAAATTGTACGGTGAGTTTAGAAGATTTGAACATGCTGATCATGCTCGCAAATCAGCTGAGCATGTTGCCAAGGTAATAAATATATGGATCTCACAAATCACTCCTTTTTTTCTTTTTTTTTTATCTTTCCAAATATTTATGGTAGCCTCTATGTTCCTGTCACTTTTCCTCATATTTTGTCATAGTAGATTGTACACAATCATATATTCGTGTCATGTTTTATGCAGGTGTTACATTCTTGTTCGTGTGACTTGCCTTGGCAATTTTATGGCGACAATGTTGCAAAAAAGGGAAATTTAGTTGACAAGTACGATTACCTTCCACACTTAAATTCTTGTTCGTTTGACTTGCCTTGGCAATTTTATGGCGACAATGTTGCAAAAAAGGGAAATTTAGTTGACAAGTACGATTACCTTCCACACTTAAATTCTTGTTCGTTTGACTTATCTTGGCAATTTTACGGCGACAATGTTGGGGAGACTGTTCTATTTGGAGACAACAATCCTGGATCATCAAAGCCTAAGTTTGGAACATACTGGATTAAGGATGGGAAAGTAGTGGGGGCCTTTTTGGAGGGTGGAACTCCTGATGAGAATGAAGCCATTGCCAAAGTTGCAAGACTCATGCCTGCAGTGGTTGATGTCAATCAACTTGCAACTGAAGGTCTTTCTTTTGCCATTAAAGTTGCAAGACCTGATGACAAGGTTGAAGACAAGATTTCTGCTACTCCCTCTACTTACAAGGTCATTCAAGACAAGATTTCTGCTGCTCCCTCCCCTTCCCAGATCATGAAAGACAATATTTCTCCTTATGAGGCCATTCAAGACAAGATTTTTGCTCTGTCTCTTGAGAAAACTCAAGATAAGAGTTCACCTCCTGCTTATGAGAAGACCAGAGTTCAAAAGTCCTATTATGAAGTTGTAAAGGCAAAGGCTCTTCCTCTACCTCCCAAGACGGAGGGCTGATGAAGATATCGAGATATGTGAAGTCATAGCTATACCTTGACCATTAAAGTTGAAAATGACTCAACAAATTAACCATCATTCCTTAATATGTTGCATGTTTTATTTCAATTCATTACTAAAAATAATATATTTTATCACAAATTTTTCACCGTGACATAAAAATCACATATTCTTTAGATTTTAATATAACTGATGGATAAAATAATTTAGGATATACTTTGAATCTCAACTATTGTAGTTTTTGTTTTTATTTGTTTATAAGTGTAAATTAAATGATTTATTCTTTTGGTTTCCATAATAATCGAAAAATAAAATAATCAGATTTTACTATAAAAATCATTTGTTTAAATAGATTTTACCCTAACTAAGAGACTAAGAATCGCCCCAAAATCGTACGTGCATCATTCTTTGAGATGGATTGCAAAACAGAAAAAATCTTCAATATTTTTCTATGTTGTTGTTGTTGTTGTTATATTTTTTGAGTAACACACGTTTAAAGAAGATTGATAAAGTACTCTATGATAGATTGAAAGTGCAGAAAATCATTCATACTTCAAGTTAAATAGAGAAGAAAACTCAACCTTTGAAAAGAGTAGAAGTTGGATGCATAGAAGATATGCAACAAAATATGGAATTACACCGAAAATGATGAATCGGGATTTGTTTTTTCTGTGCAAACAATATAATATTTTTTAAAAAAAATATTTACCTCGGTTTTATTCTAAAACTGACAGATTAACATATTTTACCCCAAATATCTGATAAGTTATCCCTTCGATAATAATCAAGGTATAAAATAATACGTTTTTTCTTCTAAAAACACTCGTTAAACAAATTTTACCTTAATACTAATTTATATTACATGTAGCTTCCCCAAAGAGAGAAAATATTTACAACCGAGGGGTTTACTTTTTACCTCGGTTTTTGTCATAACTGAGGGGATAGTTAAGCGTTATTTTGAGAATATTCACTAGTCTTAAACAAATCTTTTCGTCTATTTAATGAGTATCAATGCTCAAGATTCGGCTATTAGTGATCCGCGTGAAACTTAAGAGACATTCATTATAAAAATTAATTATTAAATTTTTTAACCTAAATGAAACATGAAGCGCATGAAACCTAAAGAAGTTTGAAAAAAATTCTCTATGATTGATTGAAAGAGCATAAATTTATTTGGGGTTAATGTTTTTTTTTTCTTAAATACTTATTTGAGCAGAAAATCATATATTTGAATATTGATATTTTTTATTTTTTTTATTTTTTGTTTTACATCAGAATCAAATGCAACAAAAGCCATTAAAATATCTTGGCACCCAACATTTGATCTTCCACAAGTTTTTCAATGATTTGAAGATCTAAAATCTAGATCTTCAGCGAATTTGATTTTTACTTAATATTTTGTGCATATAACTTTACTCCTCGTTGTTTTAATAACCGAGGAAAAATTTGACAACTTTTTATGATGCCATTTGTTACCTTGCCTTTATAGTCGAAATTAAATGTATTTCACATTTGAGGTGTAATATATATATTTTTTGAAATAGTGATTGGACCCAATTGGGTCTATTTTAAATGCAAATCTCTTTCAAAACTATATATATATATATATATATATATATATATATATATATATATATATATATATATATATATATAGTATATATATATATATATATATATATATACTATATATATATATATGAGAGGATTAAATGCTAACCATTGAATTTGATAGATGATCTTGATAAAGTCAAGTGCAAATATAGACAATAAATATTCATCAAGATCATCTATCTAATATAATGGTTGACATTTAATGTTGTTATCTCTTATTTTAGAATTTGATAGATGATCTTGATAAAGTCAAGTGCAAATATAGACAATAAATATTCATCAAGATCATCTATCTAATATAATGGTTGACATTTAATGTTGTTATCTCTTATTTTAAAGTCCTCCAACTATAATATATATATATATATATATATATATATATATATATATATATATATATATATATATATATATATAATATATATATATATATATATATATTTATATATATAGAAAGGGGTGGCAAAGTGGGCGGTCTATCCCGTTTAAGCCCATACAAAAGCGGAGCGGGGCGGACAAACTTAGGCATCCGAGCTCAAAAGTCAAGTCCGCCCCATTTACTAACGATTTGGCGGACCGGCCCGCCAATTTTTTTAGTTTTTTTATTTTACAATTTAATTTATTACATAATTTACAAAAATTTTAATCATTACTAAAGAAGCCGACAAAAGATATTTTTTTAACAACGCATAATATAACTTCAACATGTCTTAAGTTCAAACACTTCAAAAAATATAAAATAGATAAAGACCAATTTCAGAAAAACATACCGAAATAGACTCTAGCACGATAAAAAAAGTATCAAAATAAATAAATAAACAACACATACCATCATAATCCTATTTAAAAACTAATTACTAAAAGAACACAATTAATAATTTGCACAAGACAAACAATAATAACATTACAGTGCATAAAACATCACAATGCATAAATAGCAGTGTATAAAATATTAACACTTGATTTTCTCATTGTTTATGTCATATAGACTATAATCAAATTCTTTCCTTTCTTAAAAATTAACACTTATTTCTAAAGAAATAATGTGAGCTAATGTATTGACAACTTAATAATTCTTCATGCCATACAATTGTTCTTGTATTTCAAATTTTTCCAACCAATACATGTATTAGAAAGTTATATATAGAACCTTACAATTATAATTCAATTTGTCTATATAATAATTTAGAATGTAATTCAATCACCATAATCTAAAGAGGATATTGTTGTTTTATAGTTAAAGTTGTCTTAATTAAGTAAAAAGTAAAAAGTTGTAACAAAAAGCCCGCGG